TGCCTTTCTGCCTCACTCAGTCTACCCACCTGTGCGTTGAGGTCACCTGCAACAACCACTACGTCCGAACGTTTGGCTTTCGAGAGGAGGTTAGACAGTTTATGGTAGAACTCGTCCTTCACTTCATCCGAACTACAGTCAGTGGGTGCGTAAGCAGAGATTACAAAGAGACAACGGCGAGTCTCACTATTCCTTTTAGTTCTCACTGTGCCGTTCAGCCTCATAGCGCAGAGGCGACTATCAACTGGGATCCAGTCTAGTAGTGAGTTTTCTGCCCTGGTGCTTAATGCTATACCTACACCTGCAAGACCACGAGAGCTAGCTATCGAATCTCCAGAAACTCGAAGGGTGAATTTTGCAGATTCACCAGATTGGTCAGGAGAGGTCAGGTGAATAACCACACTTGGGTCCTGTATGCGTGTCTCACAAACACAGCACACATCCATGCCTCGAGTTGCTAGAGTCTTTGCCAACGAAGCCTGTTGGCCAATTTGACGGAGGGTGCGGACATTGAAGGCTCCAATATGTAATTTGGAGCGTGGTTTAAGGAGACCAGGGACACTGTTCTGTGGACTCAGATCGTTGTCGAAGGCTGCAGAGGTAGGAGAAATTGAAGATGATGCAGCATCATTAATTAAGAGACGTGAAGGAAGATTAGAAGGTAATGATGGAGGAGGAGGATAGCAGTCAGAAGAAACTTGGGTGCTGACAGAGTTGTGAGGGCGGTTGACACTTCCCGGCTGCCCACACCGTGGAAGGCTATTTCTTCTTAAGGTACCTGAAAGAGATTTGTGTGACCGCAGAGCCCATCGGACATCTGCTTGAGGCCTGTCACACCCAGCCTTTTGAGTATGATTATTTTGAATTTTTGTATTTTTGGGGCCGGATAGTCGAAAGGAAACGACAAGTGAACCAACACCGCCGGCCCGGCAGACCGTGGGGCGTGGTGGAGTGTGTTATTTTTGGGGCCGACCTTTTCTAACCCCCCCTTCCACTGAGAAGGCAGCATCAGCTTGGCACTGCTGGTCATCCAAGGGAAACACCTTACTGCTGTCACACCCCATCCAGCTAGCAGCAGTACGACTTCGCCCTCAGACCCCCATCATAGTGTAGCAATTTACACTATGACGGTAACTGCTTTTCGTCTAACCACTACCCAACAGACCTTTCTGGTATGGTAGGACCTCGAGGGAACAAGCGTTCCACCAGCATAGCTCGTTGGGTCATTGTGATATGCAAGCCCGACCACCACGTCAAGGTAGCAGCTATCGGTCGGGGATGTGAACTGTAGGTAAATACGATAACATTATCATCATCAATATCAAGATAGGACCAGGCATTACTGCGTAATCGTCTGAGTTGCCACAGCTCATTTCAGTACATCAAGTAAAAAGACAGTGAAGTGCAAGATGAAGAAAAGAAAACGCAGTCAAAAATATAAAGTATCAAGAGGGAAATGAAGAAATGAGACGGTGAGATTCGATTTAGCGTCGTTAAGATGAGGATAATGTGTGTATGCATCTGCGCCACTGACATCAGTTCCCAGTCATATCCCCTAGAGTCTCCAACCTCTGGTTCCTCTTGTTCCGCTGACCCCAACCGGCTAGTTGACATCGGCCCATATGGCTTAAACCAACAGTCAGAGACTTCATACATTAGTGCCATGTTTTATTCTGGCCCCCTCCGGCATTTTTCCAGCCTGGACCTAATTGGAACTGTGGCTGTCATAGTATGTTTATTACACTATAGTTTGATGTTTCTATGTTACTTTATTGATGCTTATCACATTATAGATGAAATTTAGCATCGAGACATTCTTTTATCTTTATTCTTTTTTAAACAGTAAGACTTCTTGAAAGTCTAGCTTTGGTTTTCCGAACAGGCTGAGATTATGATGAGCTTATCTTTGTAGTGCATAAATTGAAATCGTCGCTGAAGTTCTTCCGGATATTCGTCACCACTATGGTTTGGAAACTGATGCTGTTGTTCTTATTTCTAGCTGTTATTTTCATCAAAGGTCGAGTAGTTTTAGTTAGTTCTCTTTTTAGTTGTCTTTCACCGTTTATTTCAGCAGAACTGATCTGTTATACTACCAATCGAGTGAGGTTTAAGGTCATCCTCACTTGTTATCGTGCATATGCATACCTATAATCCTTACCTACGCACCCACAGGCTGCAGTTCGGATAGTGCAACGAATGAATTCTATCAAAAGCTGTCAACTTTGCTACAGATAGCAAAACGTTCAGATGTTAGTCATAATAGCAGGCGACTTGAACGCTCAAGTAGGTAAGCTAAGCCAATCGGAAGGGTATCTGGGAGGCATTTATGGAGAGCCATACCAACGAACCGACAACTGTGATCGTCCATCGCAGTTTTGTTCTGACAATCAAACATTTCTGCCTGGGACTAATTTCAAGTGTAAAGAAAGACGCTGTCTCACATGAAGTCCGTCGACTTCAAAACAACGATGAACACATTATATTGCGACAAGCCATCGGTGGAGGACTGCCGCTCTTTCTGGAATACCTGTAAGAACTCTAACCACGATATGGTATGGGCACATGGGTCTCTGGCTTACTGGTCGCACGAAAGAGGCGATGGCTGAGCCTGTCTGTTCTCGGCTGGAAGATGAAAAGGTAGCTAAGCATCTACCTTAGCGTGACAGCAATCCTCATGCTGAGGAAACCTGGTGTGATATTAAATCCGCTGTAGAAACTGTGATAAAGATAGTTGATAACCTTCACGTAACCTAAAGGTTAGCAAACGTCATCGGATTTCCGCAACGTCATCCTAGATGATTAGTGTGAGAAAACTGATTCTGGCTGGTTGTCTCTAAGCACGGTGAAGATCGAGTGCAACTGAAACATAGGTTGACCAAAAGTCTCCACGTCGATCGCGAGTAGTGGTAGATGTCGAAAGCGAGAGAGACGAAGCAGGCATCAGAGGTGGGTAACATTCAGCAACTATTTACCCTTATTAAGGATGCCGGTAAGAAGACGGTGGGTTGTTAAACCATCACATATAAGGATGGAAAGTTAATAACGTATCAGGACGGTGACTAGAATGTTTGGCAGAACACTTGAAAGCACAGTTTAGCTGGGGTCTGCAACGCTTCAGTTGCCCAACATGCAGCCTGAGGCTAAATGGGACGTAGATGTCGGGCCTCCAACTCTCCTTGAAGTTGAGAAGGCCGTATCAATCGTGTAGTGATTCAAAGCAGCAGGACTTGACCGCTGATCACCTGAATTTTTTTTAAAGGAACGAGGTAAAAATTCGTGATTAAAGTGGTGGAGGTACTAAATGGTGTCTGAAAAATAAAGGTAGTTCTGTTAGACAGATCTACTGGTCTTCTTGTGACAACAATAGCGGAATTAGTTTGGCTAACATCGTGTCCACTACCCCGGGATCCGTAGCTATCCCACGCCTAACTGGAGCCTAAGAACAGTACACTGGTGAAAACCAGGCAGGTTTTAGACCTGGATGAGGATGCTCAGATCAGATTTCCGCCCTTTAGCTGTCGACCATATGTTGTGGCAGTGTCTGACTGCGGAAGGAGTGCTGAGCAAGTATATAATCCCTGTTTATCAGAGTTCTCTATTTGAACTCACGCATTCCGTCTAAAGGCTTATAGAAAGTGGTCATCAGAGTTGACAGCTAGTGGTGTCTGCCGGGGCTGCCCACTGTCACCGTTCCTATTTTCCTTCGTTATGGGCATACTAATGGATATAACCTTGGATAACTTTGACTTCACAGGAATCGATCTACTCCCTAGAGGGTCATCTGGTTGTCTTGGAGTAAGCAAATAATATTCTCCTGCTTGGTGAAATGCTGACAAAATACAGACGAAATGCGGACGAAATCTCAGTCTGAATTGAGGAGGCCCGATTAGCATTTGCTAAACAGCATCACATGTGGCATCAGCGAGATATCCGACTTTGTCGAAGAACGAGTATTCTGCTATGCGGTCCCTTCTGTTCTGTTAAACGACTATGAGGCGTGGTCGTTAAAAGAAGATATGAAGCGATTACAGTTTGGTCATAGGCGTCTGCGTAGCACTGCTTGCGTTTGTTTATTCTCTCACACAACTCTATCTATTTTGATATCACTCCTTATCTATCCACCTGTTCTTTGTGTGCTACTATGAAGTGTGGCAGCTTGAACTGATGCATCTTTGTGCAAAGGTTCTACGTTGATTTTGTGAGTTAGTAGAAATTGAGTTAATTAAATCTTCAAAAGGGAGCAAAGAAAATTTATGTTTTTAGTATCCACTTCAAAATATATACGTGCTAAACATTAAAATTGCACATTTTCACACAATACCATGACACCTGGGTAAACTTTTAGTCTCACCCCTACCTTTCATAGCAAAGCTGTTGTACTACTAATTTGCTAGTTTTTTGGAAGATTTAAATTAATAGGGACTGTATATTGTACGATTCGAAGATGAACATATTTCGTATATGTATCACCGTGTCCAGATATTGTCCTACCTGCGACACTATTAGGGATGTCTGATCCTCAAAAGAAATAACTGATAATACGTACATAATTTTATTGTAAAATTCAAACCTTATTTTCGCGCCGTTTTTGCTCCATACAATTGTGTTTATTCTTACCGCGTTTAATATACTAAACACTGCTTGTTCCTTCTTACACTTTTAGTATACTATTTTGTTTTCCTCTGGTCAAGGCTCTTAAAAAGGCATATAAATGACTGAACTTTCAGCTATAATTGCAGTATTCGGTTGTCTTTTTCGTATGGTGTCAGCTAAGTATCGCTTTCAGAAGTCATCGTTCTATCGTTAATTTTATCACGTTGAAGCATTAAATCGTTCGTATATATATATATATATATATTATATATATATATATATATATATATATATATATATATATATATATATATATATATATATAGCATATCAAAACACTTTTGTTCCATTATTTTGTTATTCGGAATCAACAGGTCCTCCTTTGTCTTTGTTTTTTTTCTCTATAGATTTCTGCATCATGTCATTCGGAATCATCAAGTGGTGAAGACTCCTTGTCGCAGAAGGTTCCACCCCTCCGTATCAAGTTCGCTTCTGGCACATCTGGCGACAATGAGTCCTCTATGGTTTCATCATCAGTGTCAGTTGGAATACCTAGCGGATACACTATTCATTCCAACAACTCTAGTAACTGTATCATCAATAATAGTAAAGTTGAGAATAATGGAGTTGATGAGGTAGAAGGTAAAGAAAAATTGGAGATGAAACCTCGTGTGTCTGTTGACAGTGTGAACCGGAATGACGGTAAGGAAGTCCCAGTTACAGTTCCCGCAGCTACTACTGACACAGTGTCTTTGAGCACGCCGGAAAAGGACAAGGCTCCAGTTACAGATCTCCTGAGTGGGTTTGCAACTGAAGACAATGATGATAAGTGTTCAACCCACCATCCTAAGATACACAAGTCTCATGGTCATAGTACTGCGACAAATCTTAACTCAGCATCGGAGTACGACGGTGAGTCGAGTACGGAAATCTCAACATCTATTCCCGTTTCAACTCCCTCTGCAACTTCAACCACTGGTACTATTAACACTACAGGTAGTGGTGGTGGAGTTAGCAGTACAGGTAATTTTGGTCGTGTGAAGACGGAAAGTTCACTGGAAACCACCAATACCAGTCATCCAGGTAGCGGCAACAGCAATCGTAGTAACAGTAGTAATGCTGGCAGCGGTAATAAGGAGACAGCTAAGGTAGGTTAAAATATACGTGTGTGGTGTTTTTTTGTTTTTTATTTACTACTTTATTTTGATAAGTGATCGTGACATTTACGTGCGTCATATAGAAAGACATAAAAGTGGATAGATTTCTTTTTTTAGATGGGTTGGTAATGATGTTGGTAGATAGCGTTTTGAAGCGATGTGCAGTGTTCCTGAACTTGCATCGACTTCCATAGCGGGAAGAATCTCTCATGAATTCGTTTGTAATTAACGTAGTGGAGAAGAGAGACAGAAAACGTTGACTTTAGTCTATCGGATGATTTTCTGTGTGGCTTCCTTGTTGTGACCATTGAAGTTGTGTTGGATAGAGTTAGTTTATCAAGTTGTTTATTGGAACTTCTGTGAATGGTAGATCACTTGTTTTCATCTAATGAAATACATTCTGTCGCATGCTTTAAAGACTGAGTGCCGTCAAATTTGGAGTCGTACTGTGATGTGTGATGTACTTAGTTTCCAGAAGATTTTGTACATGTCCTATCCCAGTGTCAGTATCGCCTACAGGCTAGGTGCTAAGATAGTAATATCCTTCACGATTTTGTGTGTGCCTTAACTGCTAACTACTTTGAAATGTTTCATCCACTTATAAGTTAGTTGGTCGAGTCGACAAGGTTGATGTATCAAAGTGTGGAGATATTCGATTTATTGTGATTAATAGTCGTAATGACACTGTGTTGTCAGATATGCTTATCTAAGAAGTTTTACCTTTTCTTTTGCACTACTAATGTGTTTTGTGATACGACTGATGGTCTTGTTGAATTTTGAAGTGGTTTGCAACAAAGCACTGTCCCTTTTTTCCTGACATCTTTTGTTTGGTGATGAATGCAGTCATATATGCAGAAAAGTACAATGGCTAATACGCCTTGGCATTATTAAGATTCGTATGTTTTATAATACGAATCTATCTCATTCTTTGTAAAACAATTTAGATGAATGAACTTGTTGGTGTGTACTTCGCATGTGCTCAGAACTCGTTTTATAGGAAGATGTAATTTGTTAATTTCATCTTTCTTCGGAAAGTAAGAAGTAGGTGTTAACTTTAAAAGCGTTCTTCTCTTTTTACGTTCTTAGACACACCTTACTGTCAGTTATCTTTCCGTGATGCGTGATTGATGTTTTCCGAAGAAGTTACGGTGTGTTTTTAAACTGAACACCGATGTTTTCGATTTGACTATGTAAGCAAATACATCAGGCTTGATTAGATTTTAAGGAGGTTTCAATGTATACGAGCGAAGTACTATGGAGTGTGTGATTGATGTGCTCAGTTAAATAAGTGATTGAATTCATCGGGAATTATCGGGTTTACAGAAATCTAGCTGCTTTAAAACTATTGTCCTATTAAGAATTACGAAGTTCTTCATACATTTTAAAAATCCAGGTTTTGATAGAACGAACATGTGAGTTGAGTTCCATTTAATTTGGACGCTGAATTACATGGATGAAATAAAAAAGATAAGAAATAATTAGCAAACCATGTGACTTCAGATAGTAGATTTTATTGAGTATACATGCTATTTTGATGACTCTAATGACTTGTTTATTTGGCTTTTTGTAAGTATTTTGAACTAGTGAGTTGATATGCTTAATGTTATGATTGCAATTTTTGTTATCTAGGACACTCATCGACATCGTAGTGGACGTACACTGCGTTCACATACAGCTGCTCAGCGTGAAAAAGAAGAAAAGGAGCGTCATAGTGAGTGCTAAATGATTTCACCTTCAAATGTCATGTTTTATGGCTAAACGCCTTGCACTTGGTCCAACTTTCAAGCAGTTGGTATTGGATTTGAATTCTCCCCCTCCTGATTCGACGTAGGCAATAGGGTAGTATCATCAGCCCTTGTGCAAAAAGTATGGTTCATAACCGCCTAGCGCATAAATACACTTACCGGGATGAGCTGCGTTATTTTTATGTTTAACCAGTGGCTTGGAAGTACCATCTGGTGTCAGCATGCAGCTGTTTCAGAAGGATTTGGATGATATTACTTCACCACTTTCAAGTGTAACCTTTTCTGTCTCCTCTGTGTGTGTTGAGATCGAACGGTTGACAGGCCCGATTCGGGCTTGCCGACGAGGACGGTGATATTCTGGTTTGTTGTGTGGGAAGTAAGTTTCCAGGTTTAGAAACCATACCCAGTTATTTAGCATTCAACTTCCAATGTGTAGGTGACAGGTTTAAACTTTGCTGCATCTACCTTGGTGGTATGTGCTGCAGCCAGTGTCACTGCTATAATATATGGGGTGTAGTTCGTCTTTTGGAATTGTGCTTGTAATCACAGATGCCGATTGAGAATAGATAGAGGAGGTGGCTTTCAGCTTCCACTCCGTGTTTTTTATCTTCTCTAGGTTTGTATATTAATGAGGTTTGCTTTACGTTTTACGGTCACCGTTTGATGTGTTTATATCTTGCATACTTGCACCAGTGCGAAACTGTAGGCTGTCTTTTGCTGATACAGGGTCGCGTTTTGATCTGAGTCTGGCAGTGCATGTGACTAATTTGAAAGCATATTGAGCTGCACAGTATTACGAAAAGCAGTTTATGTGAGTGATGATATTATCAACTGAGGGATTGTGTCTTTCAAGTAATTCAGTTTGATCAGGCAGTTTTAACGTTGTGTTGGTCGATAGGTGTGACCCGCAGCGCACCATTAATATAGGAGTGAAACTGGGTACTGTGATGGGATACGATTTCATTTCAGTTGGTCTATTAGATGTTGAGACAGTATTATTTACTGACAGTTCCTAAAACTAACCTAGTTGAGTAGAGTTTCTTTGTTTATTGAATCAACACCTAATACATGCAGTAGAAAATCACTCATAAAATCCCATTGAGGTTGAAAAATCAATTTATGACTTTCTAAAAGTTGCTTCTTCAGAGAATGAAATCCGCACAGTTTGTCGCATTCCTCCATTTACTGTCTAAACATGCGATAGCTTGTACAGGTTTTCTTCTCTGAAGAAGCGGCTTTCGCGAGGTCACGAAATGTTAGAAATTTGTTTTCTTACCTGATTGGGATTTGTAGTTATATCTCCCTTGTAAACCATTTGTTTACTCATTGTTCAGCTTAATTCTGTCAGGTTAAATTTTGATCTTGAAGACTACAAAATCACCCAACATCTGTTCCAGATCTGTAAAACATTTTACTACCTTTATCACAAAAAACGAGCGAGAATAAAAGCAATATAGGCCATGTCTGGAAGTTTCGAAATTACTTTGATATGACTGTAAACAATAAATTGTGTCCGAAACGTAATACAGTAAATAATACTCTGTGTGTGTGTGTGACATTAACTGAAATGGATCGGCAGTTTTTTTACGGATGTTAGAAAAGTTGATTGAAGTTTTATTTTTCAGGACGTTGGGTGAGCTTTGTGTGATTTCTTGATGGGATATCTTAGTCTGATCAGTTACTTAATGTGCCAAGCTGTTGGTACTTATTCTACATAAATTTCTTGAATATTCATGAAATGAGTGTTTTTGTTCGGTTGGAATGGGACACACGCTTAATGTACGCATTAATTTCACTCATTCCTCATTTAGCCGATGACAATACGCCAATTAAAAAGCGTAAGCTGCGTTCAAGATCAGATGCTTCAAGTCACGACAGCAATACCAATTCCCACAGTCGAAGTGGTGGCGGTGGGGTTAGTGGGACTGGAAATGCAAACAGTTCACCTGTGACTACTCACTCTGGGTCAACGCCTCCTTCGAATGTGTTATCTTCAACAAATGCTGTTGTGAATATGGAAGTTAGTGAAGATACACTTATATTGCCAGTCGTTACTGCCTCTCAGATTGATACTTCGTTGGTCGATGAGGAAAAGAGACCTGTTGTTATTTCTCAAGCGATGATGAGTGACGAAGAGAATGATGTGCATATGCCTTGTGTTTCTGAAGGGGAACAAAAGTCTAGTATTTCGTCTACCAACATGGAGGTGGATGTAAAGATTGAGGGATGTGGTTTGCCGACATCAGTTAGTACATTGAGTATGGAGTTACCAGCTAGTATGGACGTGGTTCCTCCAACGGTCTCAGTGGCATCGTCGTCGACAACCGCAGTGTCAGTTGAAAAGTTAGGACGTCGTGGAGAAGCAGAATTGGACGTTGACTATTTGCTATGCCCTGCTGGTCCTGGAGATGAGGATAGAAAAAACATAGAGTTGCTTAAATTCCAAAATCCCTATGCGAAAGCTGCTGAGCTGAATAAGAGTGTAAGTTGTGGTCGACGAGTTGGTAGTATGTGAATGTCTTCCTACTGTATGAATCTTACTTTTTTTAGTTTGGATAGATGCACTTATCTTGAGTGGTGAATACTTTGTTGAAGAAATTAAGGTTGATCCATGGAATCATGCCATTGTTAAAACTGTCCGTCAACGTGGTAAGACTAGAAAAAGAATGGAAACGCACTCACCAACCGCCTGCAGGTCCTTACAGTTTGTGGTGAGGCATACCTGTTGTATGACTGACGATCAATGACTGTACCTGGTTGGTCAAACCTCGGTAGGTGTTACGGGGTTCTGATCCGTGACTCATCGGTTGAAGGTGGAGTGCCTAAACCAATAAGCTACAGTTCCACAACGTATAATAAAACCGCTCCTTTGGAACTTTCGGATTGCCAACACGAAACGCACTTGAAGGAAACGTTAGAGACCTTGTATCTAATGAAGAAAATGTCAGTCATATGATTATGATACCAACTTCGCTATTATTTCATACAAACTAAATATTGCAAGCTTCAGATGAAAAGGTTCTGTGACAGTTTCTGACCAACTCTACTCTTGCTTATATATGTATTTACTCTAACTATTAGACCGTCTGGTCATATATTTCTTCACTAGCTGACTGGTGTATGGTATAAATGCCGTACTCTTATTGTTTGTAAAACGACCTTTGTTATAGAAATTTTGTGGGGGTTAAATATTAACGTTCTCCGGGTTGTCAACGGGCTTTGGGGCTGACGGGGTGTGATCTCAGACAACGCCGCTTGGATCCAGCATTACTGTCGTAAAGAAAAGATCAGATGGAAGATCTGCTATGGTGAATTAAATGGAAGCGAGTGTGAGCAGAACACGTAGATACAGAGTAGTAGTTCAGGATTGTGGGGGGAGAGTAAAGATAACTGTATCATATTGGTTAGTTAAACCCCATGTCACTTGTGGTTCCGGTATCACGTAAACGTTATCAAGAGCCTTATTTTTCGTCAAATGAATTGGGTCAACAGTAAGCGATTTTATTGACTGTGATTAGAGCTTTAAACCTCTCCCTATTTTGGCTAAGGCTGACTGGCGAAGTGGTTGATGACTCAGTATTTATGTAATAATGATACTAATGTTTGAATGAACTGGAGATTCATGTAAGAGAAGGCTAATTGATTCAAACCACTTTTATAGTCTGATGTTGACGGATGTTTTCTTGCATTCTGTTCTGTTTACTTCTGGCTGTCAGTTACGTGAACTTGTGAATAATCTCGTAAAGGTTCATCCGAAAGCGCCTTGTGGTTATCAAGACTACCTGTTGGTTACTCGTAATTACCTGTTGGCCAACCAACCGTCACTGGCTACTTATGTGAAGCGTGTAAGTTACTGGTTTTGTGAAATTCTGAATATGAATATTTGTGTCTTTGTAAATTGTAGGGAATTTCTGCAACTGTTCCAGTGTGTTTGCAACTGTTTCAAGAAACTCACTGTTTCCACCTTTTCTTTGCTGTTTGGGACAATGCATAAACCTGGTTCTAACGGTGCTTCATTAGGAGAACCGTGTGTGAAAACTTTTCGAAGGGAAATCATTGAGAAGTTACAAGTAGGGTTTCGGGGAATAAGTGCTCAGTCTAAACAAATGGATCCAATAATTATTCACCGAAACCCTACTTCGATCCAAAAATAGCACCCCCCCCTCTGGCCCACGGTCTTCTGGAGCCGGCGGCGTGGGTTTTCTCTATCCGGCATTATAACAATCAAACCTCAAAACGACGTCCCGCAAAAGGCCATGTGTGACGGGTCTCAAGCAAAAGTCCCAATGACTCTGTGGTCACACAAATCTTTTCTCTTTCAGGTACCTTTAAAAAAATAGCCTTCATCTGTTTTGGCAGTCGGGAAATGCCAACCACTCGCACACTTCCAGTAGTACACAAGACCTAATCAAACATAACCTATCTTCCTCAACTTCGTCTCCTTCTTTGTCTTCATTTCCTGATACTAATCGTAGACCCAACCTCCCACTATACAGCCACCGCAAACGATCAAAACCTCATTCCCAGTCTCTTAAAACCCCGCCATTGATTTCCTGTTGCAGCTTTAAACCTGCGAACTGTATACCGAATCGAATAGCAAGCATCGCTCGCCGAAACTTTGGATTCTAGAGCCATGGATGTATGTTGTCTGTGAGATACGTATACAGGATCCGAGTGTGGTTATTAAATTGACCTCACCTGACTATAGTAGTGAATCTTCGAAAAACCTTACGAGTATCTGGAGACTCAATGTCGTGAACTTCCTGATGTAGGTATCGCATTGAGTTGTAGAGCAGAAAGTGCCCTTCTCGACTGAATACCAGTCAACAGCCGCCTATGTGGTGTTCGACTGAGAGGATCTGTAAGGTCTAGAAAGGATCATGATACCAAACGATGCGTATTCGAAATCTTCGCCTACTCACCCACTGACTGCAGTTGGCAGGATGCAAAGGATGAATTCTATGAGGAGCTGTCAACTTTACCACAGAAGGCAAAACGTCTGTGTATAGTCATAATGACAGGTGACTTCATTATTCAGTTGGGGAGTGAACTGAGCCAATCGGAAAGGTATCTTGGAGGTATTTGTGGAGTCCCATGCCGACGAACCGACAAGAGCGATCGTCTGTTGCAATTTTACTCCTACGATCACTTGTTTAAGGGTAGCACTAACCTTAGGCATAAGGATAGATACTGTCTCACTTGACAACAATGGACACAAACAGATCATATTGCTGTAAAGCATCTTGGGAGAGAATTGTCGCTTTTTCTGGAGTACGGGTTTGGACCCTGATCACGCGCTAGTGCGGGCTCGTGTATGTCTGCGCCTTACTGGCCACAGGAAACAGGGGTAGTGAGACTCATGTGTGATCAACTGGACGATGGGGACACCAAGTACGCATTTAGAGCGGAGTTAGCTAAGCATTTGTCTGAACGTTACAGCAATGTTGATCGTAAGGAAACCTGGTGTCATACTAAGTCTGCTGTAGAAATAATGGTCATCCGAACTGATTGATTCGAGAAGACTGATTCCAGGAGGTTCTGACCACGATGAAGTGTGATGGAAACTTATGCGTAAGTTGACCTTCAGTCTTCACGTCGATCGTGAGCAGTGGTGGGTGGCGAAGCGAGAGAGAGATGGAGGAGGCATCATCGGTGGATAACACTCGGCAACTATTCAGGCTTAATAAAGATGCCAGCAGGGAGACGATGGTCAGTGGAACCTTCACCGGCAAGGATGAGACGCTGATAAGCTCATAGGACAGCCAGCTACATAATTGTGCGTAGCACTTAGAAGCACAGTTCAACTCAACGCTTCAGTTGCCTAACATCCATCCTGAACCAGAATGGGAAGTAGGTGTTGGACCTCCAACTCTCCTCCGACGTCTAACTAGAGCTTGAGCACCGAAAACTCAAAACACCAGGCAGTTTTCAGACCTGAACGAGGGTGTATCAATCACATTTTTACTCTCCGACAAGTTCCAGAACACAAGCATATCTACTGGCAGCTGATAATTGCTATATCTCTTGACCTGAAGGCAACATTTGACTCTGCCGACCGTGAGGTGTTTCATCACAGTGTCTGACTGTGAAGGGAGTACCGAGCAAGTATATAACCCCAATCAAAGCTCTCTACTCGAACTCACGCAGTCGTGTAAGGGTTAATAGAGAGTTATCATGTGAATTGACAACAATTAGTGGTATCCGTCGTCACTGACGTACTTATGGACATAACCTTAGTTACGTGTAACTTCATAGGGATTGATCTTCTCCCTGGAGACCATCTGGCTGACTTAGAATATCCGGACAACATTTCCCTGCTTGGTGAGATGCTGACAAAATGTAAGGTCTTCTGGATGTATTGAGCTGAAATCTGACCATGTTTGGTATGCGTTTCGCTGGCATCTGTGAAATGTAAGATGATGCTAAGCGGATGGTCTGCTGCAAGTACTCCTAGTGTAGTAATAATAGGGAGTGAAGTGGTGAAATGTGTCGACCACTTCACCTACTAAAGGAGTTGCATCAGCCTGAACAAGCTGGTTGCTGACGAGATCTCAGCTCCGATATAGAGAATCCGTTTGGCAATTTCCAAGTTGCGTCATCTATGACCCTGACTGGCGAGATATCTGACCTAAGGGTATATAAACGACTGAGTTCCACCTATTATTATTCGGTTAGAGTAAATAAACTTTCAGTCCCATCGTCTTCTTCTGGTGTTGGGAATATCGAGCTGAGAGGTCATTGTTCTATCGTCGTATCGTCTTGGAGCGTTGTATCGTTATCTATAGTACAGAATCCTAACAGTAGGAATACGTATCATGCTTGTTGGACATTCATATGGTTTGTTTTAAGCATCTAGGGAACACATTCCTTGAGTGAATGAATTTGCGAGATGGGCTGCCGATAAAATCTCGAACTTATGTTTTTATCGTAAGCGCTTTACTGATCAGTGTATTTTCAGAGAGGAATACTGGATTCATGAATCACTGACAACAACGAACATCAACTGGAAGTGTAGGGAGGTTTCACATGGTGAGTTACCATCTCGTACTAGATAGATATTTTTCACACTTAGACGGTGAGTTATCGACGCTTGCAGGTATGTTTGTACCACGTGTCTGTGTGTTGATGTTGAAAAATTGTATTGTTGATCTATTGCTATGTCAAGCAAATGTGTTATAAAGCTTTGTGTTACAGAATCTGACTAGAAAGTAGCTAATAGCTACATGTTAACCTTAAGTGAACGGCTGTTAATAATGTTTTCAATTATCTCGAGACTCAGTTTTCTCTGTCTAATTGGAAGCAGTCTATCAATTTGATTTCTTTGAATTCTATCATGTCGATCGTATTCATTTTCTGTAAAAATACGTATATGGACCATCTCTTAGGTACCGCCGCCTAACTTGGAACCAGCCTTTGTTGAATTATTCAATGAACAAGAAGAGGAACGCTATGCTCAAGCATTGAAGCATCAGTCAGAAAGAGTAAGTAATAATGTTGAATTTTTTCATAAAGTTTTGTTTTCAGTTGTCTTGATTGATAATCTGCATGATGTGAACTTCATGGTTATTGTTTCAGAGCGATGTAGGCACTGTGATGAAGCGTAGTAGGTTTTTACCGACTTGTGAATTGTTGCGTTTAATTAAGTGTAATGTTGAATTTTCTGACCTAATTTTTGGTGGATTAGTAAGTGCCGTTGTGTCGTTTATCAGTTTGGTTGATGACCACTTTCTGATAAGCTCATATAGATCTGATTAACTGACACTATCTCTAGTTTTGAGACAACTTTGCACTAACTTATCAATTAGTAAAATATGCATTGTCGGTGCTCTGTGTTCTGTCTTATCTCCCATGTGGTATTGACTCTGCTTGACTTGTTAGGCATGTTTCTTAGTTGTAATGCTAGACTGATATTGGTATTTACGATGGTTGAATAAAGTGATAGGTTAGTGGTGACCTGCTATTTCGATAAAATAAACGCCCAAGGATATTTAAAGTTTGGAGTTGGGGTAATTTGTCAGGCACTCACAATGTAAACGAAACTTCTACAACGTGTTAACATTTCATTTGGCTAACTGAAAAGTAGTTAGTGGAGTTTTCGCTTTTAATCAAGTGAATGGGAACTGCCAAAATTTTGATTAACAAAGTGGAAATCCAGTATAAAGATATGTCATCTGTAGTTTTTGTCATGCTACTTTCTGTCATAGTTTGGAACCGTACTGTTCGAGGAAGCACAATCCAGCGTTGGCTATTATTTGTATTGATTCTTTATTTGACATTGATATTTAAGTATAATCAGATCGAAAGAAATTGAAAAGTAGTTGAACGCATCTTTCTAAAGTACTTTCATGTAAATATGCCCTTCTAATGTGAGGTGCTTTTGAGCTCACGAGATGAAATTTGACCTCGTACTATTTATGAAATGTCAATAGTCAAACATCTGTCATTGATATGGCACATGGATATCAAGTTTTACCTACTAACTGGCTGTTGTAACTCGACCAGGGTCAACATTGTAATCCAGAAAAGGCAGCTGGTTAAAATTAATTTATGAATACACGGCTTGAAAGTCATTTCTGTTTCATCGTTTAAAAGTATCATGAAATGCATAAAGAACTAAGTGGAATAAAAAAAATTAGCCTGATTTTATCCTATATCCCTCCTCATAACCGCAATAGTTATTTGTGAATACATAAATGTATATGTACATAAATGTATATATATATATATATATATATATATATATATATATGCACTGAATGTAGTATGTCAGGTTTATTTTAAGTATTGCCGAGCCTTCGCTTACCTCGATGTGCCATGCTGTGGGAAGTTAAATTAGATTAGAAGAGGTTCAGCGTGATCAGACTAGACACGGTGTTGGCGAATGAAGTCCGTGACTGTTGGTCTGAGCAGTTCAGGGAGTTGCAGACTGATAGGTTGGGGTCACCGAGACGAGAGAAATCAGTGGTTGAAGACTTGGTGAAATGGCTGAAAACCGGCCACAATGGCGCATATGTATTCACTCTTTGATATCTTCCAAAACTTGGATGTTTTGACTAAGCTTCATTTTCAGATTCCTTCTCCTATATACCTTTTTCTCATTTCGATATCAGTCTTTCCTACTCACCTGTTCTTTGTGTCTACTGTGAAGCGTGGCAACTGGAAGCGACCCACTTGTTTGTGAGTTTCTACGTTTTCTGTTTTAAATATTTCTAAATGTGTATGTTCTGTATGAGTTAGTCTGTAGCACAACCGATACTTACATACACATACATATATACAATTTCTTAAATATGTTGGATGAAGATGATGCCTTTTCTCTTGATAGCATATAGCGTAAAATATTTATGACGATTTTAAATGTTCTTCGACAAACATATGTACATACTAAGTTTTGCCCCATGGGATGTTGGTGAAGTGCATTTTTTGGTATCAATAATAAATGGTCTATGGAGCATATTTATGCCTAAAATAGCATCATAAAGAGACTCCAATTTACTAAACTAGTCAAATGAAGCTTTTTTTAAGTGCGACCATTGGTTTTTTGTGCACTGCTGATAAAAATGCTTTCAAGTAGTAGTATGCGGTGAGGTATATATTGTGAGTCGCAGGAACAGCAGATCTATCCGTGAATATTTTGGACGGAGATACAGAATGAATAGGAAGGAACTACATTCGACGTACACAAGTGCTGTATGCAAATGGATATTGTTGAGCTTTAATAGTTTATCAGTATCGAATGTGATCTGTCTAATAAAAAATCTCTCACTGTGCTCAACATTTTCATTTTCGTCAGTAGTTATACCTATTTACGCATTTCTCTGTCGGCATTTTACACACATTTGATTGAATGGACAGTTTGCACACTGTATCTGTGGTGTACCTGTCTGTCTGTCTACACTACGTGAAGCGTCCCAATTCATTTGTGAGTAGAAAAGAGACCATCCGTTTAAAAGCCGTTCGAAGAAGCACTAACTCTACTTAAGACGATTTTTGTCACATCAGTCGACATGCCTTACTTGTGTTCAGTTTTCTTCAACTTTGAAACGTCTTACCTTTATCGTTTGATATTCTTCTTCAGGAACACTTACAACTTGGAGCAGACAAGCTGTTTTACGTGCTCAAACGCGTGGTGCCTTAGCAGTTGCCAACCAAGCGAAACCGTATTCATTTTGCTCAATATTATCTTACAATGATCTAACATACATCCCACCTGTTGGGAAAGTAGACAATCGGGTATGTAATAAGTGTATGCACGTATTTGGCGTATTTTGTATTGTGTTATTTTGGAAGCCGATTGGTCATGATACTGCTTTTATAACACCTACCAACTTCATTTTGATACCTACTTAAGCAAGCTGAGTTACTACGGAATAAACGCATTTTGATCGAGGAAATTCATGACTACCGTCATTATCTTTTAACTCGTATCAAGAAGGAAGGATACAGTAAGTAACTTGTGAATCGCACTATAATCAACTATCTGCTTTGGAATGCTGAAAGCATCGAAATAAGTATCTTGACTGGACAGTGTTACGTTTCAGGTGCGAGGTTAAAAAGTTGATAATCTTAACACAGGACATTCGATGTACCTTGCCCCCTGTATATGCTAAGATGTTCCTCTAGTCTGGTTAAACATTCTCCCAAGTAGGTGAATTCATACCTTGATTAATGATAATATTACCACTCGTCATATTGAATCACTCTTCTAAGCGATGCCCTGTGTAATGAATTTTATTCATCTTAGTAAATTAGTATAACTAGGTTGAGCTCGGTCACTTAAAACGATTACTCACGAAATTGTAATTAACTTTTAGCGGCGATTTAAATTAACCAATGAATTTTATGCTAGTTAATATAAGATTATAACTTTTGGACTGTGGTATCGCGTAATATCATGTTCGCTTGTTCATATTATTGCTTATTTTTAAAATCTGTTTCCAAGCCTTCGGAGGACTTTGGCTTTATCGTTACTTATACGCTGATATTGGTGATTCACCTATCGTCGATGGGTCTAGCTGCACACATCAATTTGTTCATGCTTGTCCAAGCAAAAGCATAGTTCGTACAGAGAGACGGCTATCTACATGTTTAGTTGAACACTTAGTCAAATAGGTTGCTGCGAACTATAACCAAACATATCTTAGACTGTAGGTTTGATATTGACCAATTTGTTTACAATAGTCAGTAGATACAAAATTTGAAACTACTTGCAAATTTGGATATACAAATCATCCCTTTGTGAGCAGAAATAAATGGTATGGTGGTTACTCTGAATTTTCTCTGGTAACATTTTTGTGTGATGTGATTACGCCAATTATTTTCATTTGACTATTTTTAGTCAGGGTATCATTCCTATTGGTGAATTATTGTTGTCCTTGCCTTCTATTTAATGAACAGATTTATAGGTAGTATTCTATTCTTGTTCGGTTATGCACTATTTTATTCCCAATGGCGTAATTAAACTTTAATCCATGTGGTTTTTCACATAGTTTTGGCACTCTAACCTTTTGCACGTCTATTTGACACTTGCAAAACTGAAGCCTAAGCTAAGCCTTATTTATCATCATTAACCTGAGATTTTTGGTTTGGTTCCTAGTGGGGTCGTAGGTGGAGCATCTCTGGGGAGTCCTGTACTGGGACGAACGGCTACTTGGTATAGTCAGATTTTCTGTGGCTCTCCAACTGAAGGAACTTGGACCTGAAGAGAGCTTTTGACTACGTCCATCGAGGGGTCGTATAGCAGTATTCTCACTAAAAGGGAGACCGAGTAAGTTTATCACTCTGTTAGAGGCTCTTTTTGAACACGCTTGGGGTGTTCGAGCGTATGATGAATTGTCACGTAAGTTGTGTGCATCCGTCCAGAATGCCCACTCTCTCCATTTTTGTTCAATTTTGTCATAGACGTTCTTAGGGAGGTCTTCCTCTCGTCTTCCGACTTTCCAGGAATCGATCTAATCACCGGAGAATCTTTGTCAAATCTAGACTACTCAAACGACATAGTTCTGTTAGGTGAAGACACTGACAAGATGCAAAGTTTTATGGACACTGAGTAGCAATTTGAGGATGTTTAAGATGCGTTTCTCGTCACCAAATGCAGATTGTTGCTCCAGGACAGATTTCATCAGTGATACCCTGGTTGGGTCAATGGCGGATGAAATCTCTGCACGGATACGAAATACTCGATTGACGTTCCCCAACTTACGCTATCTGTTGCGTGTCCGAAATATCCGATTGCCTATTAAGGGTCTAGTCTACTGTGTTGAAGTTTACTTTGTTGTACTCAGCGGCTATGAAACATCACCATTAAGGGGAGAGGACTGGGGAAGTCTTCAGTTACTTGACCACCATTGCCTTTGTACCATGGGGCGTGTGTCATGGTGTCAACACATGAGTAGCGAAGGGGTCAGGTATAGTGTGGTAGGGAGAAGCGGAAAGTCAGTTGATGAGGTTGTAAACCTTCATCGGCTGAGATGGCTGGGACATGTGTTACACATATCTAGTCGCTCTCTACCTTGTCGATCAATGTTGGCTGAAGTATACTCAAGCCGGAAAATGACTCTGGGGCGGTCAGACTAAAACATGACATCCCTGCGTAACTGTTGGTCTAAGCCGTGTAGGAAGATGCAGGACAGTCAGTTAGGTTTCGAAGTGACGAGAGAAATTAACGGTTGAAGACTCTAGGTGGATATGGCACAGATATATTTACACTTATCTTCATCTTAGCCGCTATACTGAATCCAGTATTTTCGCATTCCTCCTTCCTCTCGTTTACTGCTTTCTACTATTTTTGACCGATTGTTCTTTTACTTCTTCATCTTTCACCTCACTACTTCGTTACTTGTTGTGGCGATACGAGGTGTGACAACCCGAACCGTTAAACGGTAATACCTGCTTCTATGTTTACATTGATTGATTGGATCTCCAAATGATGTCATTCCGTGATGAATCCCACCTGACATATGTGTCTTTCTGTATTCATTATTGACAGGAAGAAGAAAGTATCCGTGATCGTTTCACTCCTCGTACTTTTATCGGTTGGCTTCAGGATATAATAGATACCTTTCAAAATGAAAAGGTAAGAATATTTATCGTCTTTTTCTGTTGTAGATAAATTCTCATCGTGTTATATTATGTGACAGGTTCCAGCCATTTTTTTTCATGGATGTTTTGAGGTCATTTTATGCAATCGATGCTGGCATTTTTTCCAAGCCGGTTAAAACCTATCAACCGTTACCTCTGAAGTTGTCTGTTATAAATAGTGGAGTTCCAAGAAGTTTAAGATTCTGGTATTTTCATTTTGAGTCCAAAAAGGCTCCTGCTAGTACAAAGAAAGATATTTATAGTTTGTTACGTCATGTGGTATTGTTCAAACAGTCTATGTGACCATTTGTACCATTTTCTGTTGTTAGTTAGTGATGGTATTGGTGATACACCAATACGAAGCAGCTAATGTGTGCTTCCTTTCTGTAGGCTTCATATGGAAACGACTAGAATAAATGTGAGTTCAAGTTTTCGGGATTTCGGTTACTGAAAACCTGCTGTTTACAAGTTATGAATTACCCTGTTTATCTGTGTTATGTCTAGGACATGATCTCTCTCACGTGAGATTACGGAATATATTCTTTGTATTATGATAGCATTTACTTTCTGACGATATTTGTTTGCTTTCAATAGACCACTTTTCTTTATGTTTAGAAAAAGCAACTGTGTCGACAACTTCATGAAGCGGAGTCGTTGATGATGGTGCAGAAGATGGACTGGGAGATGAAGGCTCGTGAAACACTAGCCAACGTGGACTGTATTGGTGTAGACATATTCAAGGATATACCAGCTAGTTGTGTGCCACTAATCCCAGTTCCGAATGATTTCCCATTATTCGCTCATGACCCAGTGCATCGGACAACTTCAATGACAGTGTCGACGACGAGTACTGGTAATCCGACTGGGAGCACCAGCAATAATGGTGTTGATACTAATACTCCCAATACAACTACCCCTACCGCAACTACTCCTCCTAATTGTGTTACCACCAACACCAACAATTCGCAGACTGAACAACATTGATGTCATGATAGTCAATTGATGGAAGTGTGCAATTCTTTTAATTCTGTGATGTCCATTTATTTATTCATGATGCATTGCTTTTTCTTCGGTGGATTATGTTAGAAGAGCTGCAGTGACAGCTGAATTGTACGTGTGTGGCTGAATGAATAACTTGTGAATTTATATGAACTCATCCCTGTAAAGCTTATTCATCTGTATTTGTTACCATTATATGATCAGTTAGATGTGTACCATACTATTCCTATGTATGCTTTTCATGTATATTTGATCTCTGTGTATGTATGTGTGTGTGTACGTGAAGCTAGATAATATTGACTTTGAAATGTATTCAGTTGCTTGTCTATTTTTTTTCTTTCGTTGTGGTAGCGTACTCCTGTCCCCTCCCCATCTCTTTCCTCCTCTCCATTAGTGTTGTAGATTTACTACCATGTGACTTGTTCATTACACTGTAGGCGTTTCCGTCAAGGCTCTATGTACGCTGGTAAAAATGACTTTAAATTATCGGAGGTGATCATTTGAACTTAGGGGGATAAAAGTTATGCAAAAGTTTGTGTTTTCTTGCTGCTAAGCTTCGTAAGTGGTAGTCCATTCGTCCTCTTTCAGTATCAGCGCAACCTTAAATAGATGAAGTTTTCCCGGCTACTATTGAACTTGATTTGCCAAAACTTCTACTTCCCCAAAGTTTAGTTATCACCCATCTAACCTTCTGCTCCTACCCTGCCGTTAAGTTTTAATAGGGTAACGTGGTATATTGATATACGCTTGTAACTGCTTGAAGATGGACCTTCATATACTGCGCACTATGGTCGCTTGATTTCTTGGGGAAAATGGCGGGAAGACGACAGATGTACTTCAAGGTTAATTATTTACGAGAGTACTCTGATTTTTATATGTTTACAGCTGTATTGATATGGTCTACGTTGCTGTAGAAGATAATTGATTTCGCTGATTTGTTCAATCAAGTAAAGTTGTGTCATTTAGAACATTCTTACCTGATATGATTGATTATAAATGTATTCGGCGACTTCTTTGGTAGTCTATAGGGAGGATATTGTTCATCTTAAAAGTATTTTATTTAAAAACGTGGACTAGGAATGTGAAGTTGGCTGAGGGTTCAATTAAAGTTCGACAGGATTTCTAGAGTTATTTGTCTCACACTAGTGTTGAAGGGATAAAGCATAGTTCCTTGAAATGTTTTCATTTTAGTTGCCTATTCTGAAGTCTTTGTTTACTGGTTCTCATCCACTGATATTTCGAGTGGTATAAAATCTGTCAAATTTATTATTTTAACGTTGGTGCACACGTTAAATACAGATGTTAGAAGGGACCTGTACTTCATGTAGTTTTGTTCCGATTCGTCGTATGGTCTCACTACGTTTACAACATGTTTCATCTCTGTAGGTCTTCACTACAACCTACCTTCAAGGTCAAAATAAAGTCCTGATAGTTTCGACGGTTCCAGTTTTCCGACTGCTTTTCTGATACTATGGAGTAGAAAAATACTCCAGACTTGCACCCCGATATGCATTTGCATAATAAGTTGTCGACTATGCTGTCAGAAATTTTCGAATTTACAACACTTGCAAACCCCTTCAGTGTAACATGCCTTATTATTATTATTAGTCCCTTGGGTTCCTAGTGGAACATAGGGCTTCAGTAGCACGCCTCCAGTGACCTCTGTTCTCTGAGATCTTTTGAACCTGGTCCCACGACAGCCCACAAGCTCTCATTTCCTCTCGCACGACCTCCTCCATGTCACCCCTCGGACGTCCAACTCGTCGCTTCCCATGGGGATTCCACTCGAGGGCCTGACGCGTGATGTCCTCAGTCGGCCTTCTCAGTGCATGGCCAATCCATCTCCACTTCTTCCTGCATATTTGTTGCGTGATAGGTTCTTGGTTGGTTCGTTCCCAGAGTTCCTTGTTGCTTATTTTTTCTGGCCATCTGATCTTCAGCAGCGAGCGTAAGCAGTTGTTGATGAATGTCTGTAGTTTATTGGAAATGCCTTTCGTGACGCGCCAAGTCTCTGAGCCATACAAGAGCACTGACTTGACGTTGGTGTTGAAAATCCGTATCTTGTTCCGCATGCTGAGTGCAGAAGATCTCCACACTGGTTTCAGGCTAATGAACGCCTGTCTTGCTTTTCCGATTCTGACTTTGACGTCCTCGTCCGTCCCGCCTGTAGTTGAAACAGTGCTTCCTAGATAAGTGAAGGAGGTTACTTCCTTTAAGTTTCTCCCGTTGACGGTGATTGGAGTTTGTTGTTGTTGTTGTTGATGGTGGTGGTGCGGTATCTTCATCACTTCTGTCTTCTCTATATTCACCTGAAGTCCCGTCTTCGCTGCCTCTTCTATCAACTTGTTAGTTTTTGCCTGCAGATCTTCAAGTTTATGTGACATTAGGCATAAGTCATCGGCGAAATCCAAGTCTTCTAGGTTCTTTTCCGTCGTCCAGTGTATCCCCCTCTTCTCGCTGCCTACTGTTTGCTGCATGATCCAGTCCACCACAATCAAGGAATATCATGGGGGATAGTAGGCAACCTTGTTTCACTCCTGTCTTCACTTCAAAGGCATCACTGAGCTTCCCATTGTGGATTACTTGGCATGTAGCATCTTCATATAGTTGTTGAATGAGGCGGATAAAGGTTTGCGGTACTCCGTAGTATTGAAGCAGTTTCCAAATTACTTCTCGGTCGACGCTGTCAAAGGCCTTCTCAAAGTCGATGAAGTTGAGGTGGAGAGGTGATTGCCATTCTATGCTCTGTTCTATGATGATACGAAGCGTTGCAATTTGGTCTGCACATGATTTGTACTTCCTGAAGCCTGCCTGTTCCGGTCGTAGTTTTGAATCCAGTGCATCCCTTAGCCTCTCCAGGATGATGCGGCTTAATATTTTACTTGGGGTGGACAGGAGAGTGATTCCGCGCCAGTTCTTGCAAGCACTGAGGTCTCCCTTCTTCGGCAGTTTGACAAGGTAACCCTTCTTCCAATCGTCAGGTACCTTCTCTTCCTTCCACACCTTCTGCAATAGTGGTGTGAGCATGTCCGCTGTTGTCTCTGCATCTGTTCTCAGTGCTTCTGGCGGTATTCCATCTGGTCCTGCTGCTTTCCCGCATTTCAGTAGCTTTATGGCGTTCAGGACTTCCATTTTCGTTGGGGGATTAATGTTCACTTGTAGTTCAGCGGCTGCAGGTGGTATTTCTGGACGAAGTGCAGGTGGTGGTCGATTCAAGAGCTTCTTGAAGTGGTCGGCCCATCGTTTCCTCTGTTTCTCTTCTTTTGTAATTAAATTTCCTTCTTCATCTTTTATTGGTTTCATCTGTGTTGGTCTCTTCCCTGATAGCAACCTGGTTATTTGATACAATGTCGTCAGGTCTCTCTTACCTGCAGCCTGTTCTGCTTCACTTGCCAGTGTTTCGTAGAAGTGTCTTTTGTCTTTGCGTGCACTCTTCTTCACTTCTTTGTCCAGTGTTTTATACATTGTGCTCAGTTCCTCTTGTCGTTGAGCATCCTTGCACTGGTTTATCTTCTGCTTCACCATCCTCCTCTCCTCTATCAGCTTCCAGGTATCCGTCGAGATCCATTCCTTGTCTTCTTTCTTCTTCCTTCCTAATACTGTTGTGCAGGTTTCTTTCCACATAGCTTTCAAAGACTTCCAGTGTTCTTCCACACAGGTTTCTTCAGGGATGTTGCTCGATGTCTCCCATTTTGTCTTGATGGCTGCCTTGAAGATCTCCTTTGTAGTTTCATCCTTCAGTTTCCGAGTGTTGTACTTGGGTTGAGGTCTATCACCAGCTTCCTTGAAGGCTTTTAACTTGATTTGGAAGGTTCCTTGCACTAGGTAGTGGTCTGAACCTACATCTGCTCCTCTTCTTGACCTTGTGTTAAGTAGACTGCGTCTCCATTTTCTTGAGATTGAGATAAAGTCGATTTGATTTTTAGTGTGTCCATCTGGTGAAATCCATGTCGCTTTGTGGATATCCTTGTGCCTGAACACACTGCCTCCAATCACCAAATCGTTGAATGCACAGAATTCTGCAAACAATTCTCCATTCTCATTCATTTCACCTAGTGCCTCTCGACCCATGGTTAGTTCTCTTCCCGTGTTGTCCCCTCCCAGTTTGGCATTCATGTCGCCCATCAGAATTTTGATATCGCCAACTGACGTCTTGTCCAGTGTTGATTGAAGTTGTCTGTAGAAATCCTCCTTTTTCTCTTGCTCTGCATTATTTGTAGGTGCATAACATTGTATGATTGTGACCTTTCTTCCTTTTGAGTTGAATCTTGCTGTCATGATCCTGGAGGAGATTGGTTCCCACTGCATGAGAGCCTTCGATGCTCTTGAGGACATCATGATAGCCACTCCCTCAGTGTGCTCGTGGTTGGCGTCTGGGTGACCGGAGTAGATTATTGATTCTCCAGTTGACAGTTTGGAGAGTCCACTCCCATTCCATCTGCTTTCGCAAATCCCAAGCACTTCGATGTGATACCTTCTCATCTCCCTTGCAATCTGGGCTGCCTTACTGGGTTCAAACATCGTGCGGACATTCCATGTCCCCACGTTTACTTTCGCTTTCATCGAGAGAAGACACATCGGCCAATTGGCTTCCCGAAGGCTTTCACCAACTGGCGTCATTTCGCCTCTCCGATTCCAGCGGGGAATAAGTTTGTTTTCATTTTTTATATTTTGTTTGTGCTTTGAAGTTTCTTTAGCGGTTAGATTTGTTTTACGGGGTAGGGTTGCTAGCCCTATGCCCAACCTTCCCTCTTTACCCGGGCTTAGGACCGGCTAGTAACTAGTAAACTAGTTAACCAGGCGAGGTAACATGCCTTACTACCTGAAATTTCTACTATGAAAGCAAATGCTTTGGTTTGTGAGGTTACGCAAACACCATTGGAACATCCGTTATCATGGTTTTTGGGATCCCAAAATGCTTAGGTGACATGAATGCCTTCATATTGTAGCCTTGCTTGTGATCTACTTTCTGTGATGTAGTAAACTTCTGGATTCTTCTCTGACGCTTTATGACCATTTTTCAGGGATGTAGATTACCCAAAATAGAGTGATCGGTTTGAAAATGATTTACAGATCACATGATACACGTTGATATTTCTCACAGCTGAGTAATTTTCAACTAATCAACTTTTGTGTCGATAGGGTTGGTGTTGTAAACCACTCATCAGTCAAGATCACAAAGTGTGACACAAATGAATCATGAATTAGCAAAAGATACTACTACTGAACAATTTGATTAGTTTCTAATTACTCAAACAGATCTATAGATTTCACCAGCCAGATCAGAGAGATCTAACACCTGACAGCCGTTTTGCTCGTATAGGCT